GTGGCAGTTGGATCGTTGGCGGAGTTGGCGGTTGTGTCGGCAGAGGGGTATGATGCGGTGGTGAGGTAATTTGAAGGGGGTATTTCGGCGGCGGCCTGATTTGCCGGGAAGTGGGCGGTGGTTCCTAGTGGTGGTGAGGTTGTAAATTATGGGAGATGTTGGTGATGTTTTAGTATTGTATTATGTGTGGGCGAATTTAATTTTTATTTTATACGGAGTGGATATTAAAAAGGAAGAGAACATGCATGGTTTAGGACGATATCTTTGTTAAGAGAGATGGAATTGTGAGTGGATTTTATTGAGTTCAGAAATACGTTGATGGCAGAATTGTTTATAGGTTAAAATTAATAATAATGATTATAATAAAATACGATTATTTCTGATAAATAAGGATATATTACAATAGTAAATAATGGTTTTATTTAAATAAATATTAGTTATGTGTAATAATATGGATTTGACCAAGAATAAAAAATTGTAAATAGTACAAAAAATAGTTTAGATTTTTTTTATTTTGTTTTGTTGAAAATTAGCGGGCAAGCGTAACTGAGTGTCTTGACTTTTGAAAACTAAATCATGGGATTGAAGCGAGAAGTCAGAAGTATTCGGCGACCAGGGAAGTAAGGGGATTTTCGATTGATTTAAATCGAGGATCTACATATAGTTATATAGTTATATAGTCAAGGACTGCAGCGGGATGGTCGAAAGATATAGACATTGAGTGTCTCTTTTTTTCATCGAAATCATGGGCAGATCGATAGAAAGTATAGTCGAACTAAAGAATATTTTACACCTAACCTAAGCGACTGTGATTTCCAATCAATTACATCAATTTATTATGGGATCCTTCACCGAGATGGCTAAAGGGCATCCAATTGGATATCTTTATAATCCTTCGTGATGACCACTTGTCTAAAGAGAAGCTATCTATCAATTAATAGTGATACACCTTTTGTCCGATGGTCTAAGTTCACCCCGATAATAAGAGGACCTATACTACGGATTCATTCAAAAAGGTCGAACAAAGACCTTCTAACCGACCGAAGACTTTCCAGTCAGCCGAATGATTATCATGCAGCTTAATGTCAAATCATTATTAAATGCCCCTCTTCAAATAATTATGAATTGGAAATGGTGCCAACGTCAGTTGCAAAAATTAAAGCGCCCCATAATTAGTTACAAATATGTAAAGGTGTACTTGTGTAATAATTATCTATAAATTCCCTATCAAAATAGGGATAAATATGTTACTTTATTGAATACTCCTATAAATTATAAATAGGATATCACTTCTTTGAGAAATGACTACCGAATCTTTTCTCTGAGAACTTGTGTTACCGTGCTCTCTCTCTCTCTCTCTCTCTCTCTCTCTCTCTCTGTTCTTCTTGTACGTCCAACACTCTGTTTCTTGGGCGTGACCCATATTGTATTTTTGGATTCGACATCCTAAAAGGTGCGTTGAGCATAAAATCATATCATTAATAAGTAGAGTGCACTACAGAGAAGGAACCTACTTGGGAGAAATCTCGTACATGGAGTCCGTAAAAGAATTTATGATACAACTATTGGCATCAATTTTTGAGGTTAGGTGTGTAGGGTGTCAACTTGAGTAGTAAGAGATTATATTCTATTCATTTATAGCTTCATGTAGCTCAAGACATCCATTAAAACTTCCTGGTACATGTTTTTGGCTTGAAACTAGGGTTGGAGTTAATATAACCTTACCCTGGAGTGTTCACAGTTGGTTAGCTTCAATTTTGAAGTGGGACATGTCTAATGTTAATTTAATGTTTAAGGTTCATGCTCCATCCATTTGGAGCCTCTCATGGCTCAGGAAAGCTATAAAATCCTTCAGCGCGTATTAAGCACGAAATTAGAGTTTACACCGATACGCTTGTACCATAATGACTAGTACACCCATTGGCATCAATTTTTGATATTTTGATGTTTGAGGACCATTTTCCATCCATTTGTGGCCTCTCAATGCCCAAGAGATCCATAAAAGACCTCCTTGCACACAGGCACATGGGCGCCATTGTACACACAGGCACACACTCTTACGTGCACTCAACTGCAATTCTAACATCCTAACCAAAATTTTTGACTTTTTGGTCTCCAACTTGGCCATTTGAGCTAGGATAGGGCATTTGGTGAATAAAAAAGGTCAAATGGGATTCTTCCATGTTATCCCACCTCCTTAAGAGCCAACAGGATGGATCCTATGTGGATTAAGCCCCATTATTCTATGTCATTTAGAGGGAAAAATGGACCAATAACCATATGAACATAGGAAAAAGCGGGGGATCAAAAAGTTCATTTGCTTGGAAAGTGTTTCTCAATCAAGGAGGAGGTTCTTATGAGGCTACAGAGGTTGTGGGAGAGGTTTTCTTGGTGAGTAAGCAAGAGCTCTTCTCTTCTTCTTCTTCTTCCACTTGTTTTCTTCTCGATTACTTCATCCTCGTCTTCTTCTCCTTCCACCATCAGTTGTGGTGAGTATGAGATATTTTCTCGGAGGCCCTTAAGCTCCTTTGGCAAAGGAGGGCTTCATCATCACTTTAGTGTCGGAAGAGTAAAAGGAAAGAGCACGTGTTCTCAAACATCGCGAAGGTGAAACTCTTTGAAAAACTTTGTTTTTTTCCTTTCTAGCAAGCCTTTTCTAATTCTTGTTCGAGATATTAAGCTGAAACTGATGTTAGCGGAAGCCCTTTTAGTTATGAAGCCCTTCGTTGCATTCTTAAAATCCTTCAACGTATCTCTCTTAACCCTAGTCTAGAAATCCTAATGGATACAAGATTGTAGTGATCCCGAGTTTGCATCGGCGGTTCCATTCTTTCAATGGGAAGAGTGAAACACATTTGAACATAGAGCTCCGTTCCTTAGGTGACCCGACCCGCAATTACGCAGTCATTTAACTTCCAAAATATTGTCAAAAACTTAACCCAATTTATATTTAGCAGCTAGTGTGCAAAATAAAAATATTATAAAATATAGAAAATAGTTCACACACTAGGGGTTCTATGCAAGCGTACATATCGTTTAAAGTAATGTAGGGTTTTCTTTAAAAACCTTAGTATCGATCTAACAAAGAAGTGAGGTAAGAAATTGCATAGGCTAATTCTAATCTACTACTATCACTCCTTAGTTTGAAAGGTCGATTTAAGTGGTTTTTCTAACAAGTACTCTTAAAATGTAAGAATTAAGTTTAAAAAAGTCAATAACTAGACTTGAATGAAAATATTAATTCTAAATATAACCCTTTTTTGGTTGAATTGGTTCGAAGAATTTTGAGAAGTTAAAAACTAATGTTCTTGTGTAGTGAATTAGACAATGTTTTGGAATGAGATACAAAGGATTCAATATCGCCAATGACAATAGGAGCAAAATTGATAGGAATCTAGCCTGTCACCCTAGAAACAACCAATTTACACCCATTAAGAAATATTTACTTAATATTGCATTCAACTACATTAAATATTGTAATGTGCCAATAGGAGCAATTTTATTCTTTATCATCTTTACGAGTGATAAAAAACATTGGCTAATCTAGAGTTTGGTCCCAAAATCTATGGTTTTGTTGGGAAGATACTGACTCTCACTTGAGAGTTCCCACGTTCCCCTCACCTGAGAGCTAACATCTTGCTTTAGTTTCGAAACATCTGGACCAAATTGGTGATTTTAGTCTTTCACCCTAAAATCATCAATTCTACGCCCTTCAAAGTTTATTTCCTTATTTATTTGCACTCAACCCCATGAACTACATTCTTATCCATGAAATCAAATATGGTTCCACTTTGTTGAGAATTATACCGTCCTCTCGTATCTTAATACAATTACAATAAATTTTAACATTACAACAAACCTAAATTGCAATGTAAATGAAGTTTAAGTAAAGGCCATCACATTTATAATCATGACCTATTCTAACATGCATCACAAAATCCAAAACACGAATCATACTTATTGTAAAAGAAAAGTAAACTGAAAATAATAACATAATCTACTCATGCCACTATTTCATAACAAGAAGAAAGAGTAACAAACTACTCACATTGCACAAATAGAACACAACTGAAAACTTCATTACATCAAAGCAAATCTACTAGATAAGTGTTCACAAAATCATAAGATAATAAAGAACACAATACGTAGCTTTTTTCCCTTGAAAAAAAGATAAAGATCTCTCCCACAAAGTCTTCTGCTAATCCATGCAATGGTAGTACAATTCCTTACAGCTTTTCCCAAAATTCCCTCTCAAATCTCTTCAGAAAATGAAGAAATCTACATTTCTACTCCTATTCTAAGATCTCTAAGAATTCCTCTCTACACTCATGCAAAAACTCTCTCTAAAAATCCCCCTCTAGACTCCTCATGAGAGACGCCAAGCCCCTCTTTCTAAAGAGGCACAAAACCTCAAGAAAAGAGACTCATCTCTTCACTCCAAGAGATACACCTCTTCACTCTAAGAGACACCACTTTATCCGAAAGCCTTTCCAAGTGTCTAGATTCATTGAACCACTCTAAGTGGTGTTCAAGTTTTTTGGAATCTTCAATAACATCCCAAAATAGCCCGAAATCATAAAAAACCAGCCCCTTAACCATTTTTGGCACCTTGGTGTCGTACTCTCTCTTCTGGTGCCTATGTGCCACTCTACAGGCAGCTCCATCGTTTTGCCCCATTTCTCTCCGTTTCGCCCCATTTCAGTTCTATTTTGCTCTAAATTATTATACCTACAAAATAAGAATGAAAATAACATTTATTTAAAGTAAAATTTCATTCAAAAATATGTGATAAATGTAAAAGAGATTATGTATAGAAATACATCAAAATGTGCCAGGTCAAAATTTTCTTCCTTGCTCGTTTTGGCTTCGATTTGCACCGTTTTTATTTTATTTTCTCCTCTATTTCTTGTACCTGAAACAAAAAACATGCAAAATACCTTCCTTTAAAGTTTAATATCATTAAAAATAATTGCAAAATATATATGAAAAAGTAGTCATTTTTTTAAGCGTGTCAAAATCTCCCAAACTTAAATGTTACTTGTTGTCAAGTAATGTTATAACTTTTAAAACTAAAATTGTTAACTTGTGGTTGTGGGTTTCTTATAGATGACCTAAATTTTTTTTAGGAATGTTATAGTCTAACTTAGAAGAATTTTTAATAAAGTGGATGATATTTAAGGTATCAAAACATTTAATATTAAAATTAGGAATACTAGCTTTCTATTTAATTCAAACTTAATTAAAATTTTTCAAAAAATGGGATTTTTTAAAAAAATATTAATTTTAGAATTTATGAATTCTATATTGAAAGTAATTTTTA